TTAAAAAGAGCTCACTCATAGCAAAGCAAAACCAAATATTGTTGATACTGAAGAGAGCAATAAAAATCATATTGATCATATTGCCATTATTTAGTGTTTAGTTTGTACTTTGGATAATATTTAGGACAATGACTTGATTTCGTTTAGTTTTGAAAATTTGAATAGTAATTTAGCATTTTATTTTACTAGTATTAAAGAGTGAAAGTTTGAATTTTATGAGGTCTATTGTTATACTTTCATGCATATCAATGTATATTAAAAAGTTTTTTGAAAAAAAATTAAATAGGCCAAAAACCCTTGGGTCAACCCGAAACCACCTTTATAGAGGTTGCGCTTTGTAAAATAGATACTTTTTCAAACGCATATTTTTTTGTTTAAAGTATGTGTAGCAAAACAACCTGGATGGGTCCAATAACCTAGTGGATCAAGTTCAACCTAATCTTCATCCCGTGCTTAACTAGAGTGGATTGATTCTCATACCAAAATTTCTACCCTCATCGTTTCCATACCACATTTTCGACTGATGTATAACTTGGTCCAGTTTGATCTTTGTGTACCGCTACCCCTATATCGGAGCCCTTGCCTTCAACGTTTACCATATTTTTGCCACAACAACAAGGGAGGAGATGGAGCCAAATGAAACCATGGATGGAACTTGAGAAGTATCATAATTTTAGCCATGAGTTTATTAATGTAAATCGAAACTTGTGTACACAAATTTCGGTTTCATTGTCGTAATCACTTTTAAATCTAATTTAGAAAAAAAATTGGAATTTGCAGCAACAAATTTCAGTTCATTGTGATTCACTTTGGAATAACCATCAATTGGAATTTTTCTATACAAATTCAAATTTTAAGCATGATATATTCCACTTGTTATGTATGCTTGTATGATGTTTGTGAGTGATTTCAAATTACATGACATTCTTGAAATGTCATTGGTCTATGATTTGAGCAATGAAATGTATTATTGTTGAAATTACCTTGAGATACTTCCTGTTATTGAACAACAGTTATGAAATTATGAATTTATAAACTTATCATGTGTGATATGAATTTATTGAGAAATAGTTTTGAGGATTGATGCTGATGTTTGAAATTTAGAAATCTTGATTTTGGTAAGTGTAAAAGTTATTATGTTATTAGTAAATAATTATTTTATAAATTTCATAAGTATAAATACGAGAGGAAATGGTGAATGTTGATTGATGGAAGGCATATTACATAGAAAATAAGAGGTGAATTTTGTACATATTATAGAGGTAATAAGGAACCCATGCTCTAGTCTTGTTTTCTATGAATTTTGGTTTGTTCACATCACTTGATCGCTGAGCTTATTGTGTTGAGCTACCAGTCACATGGGTGAATACTAGCCCATGGGTTCAGTCAAAGAAAATAAGGTGTGAGGAAATAAAGTGGAATTAAGAGTAAGGTATTATATTTTGATATATGTGTAATCGTGTGACAATTGTGAATGTTATGATCTTTGTAACCATCCCACTTGACACCTCTCAAGTACTTACTTGTATGCCTAATGAGTAGGATTATTGGTTACTAAGGCTTTTGTCTCACCTCGTGGTGTAACATTTTCTAGTAATAGCTCTAGGACTGATCCATCAAGGAAGACGGTAAAGGCTTAGTTATCAAGTTTATCTTGTATAGCCTTCTTTTTGTCATGTGATGAGTATTTGTATATTGTCATATATAGCTCTTTTTGTATACTCTGATTTATCTAAGACTGATTGTCTTAGTTACATTTGTTGTTGGATTGTATTCTGGTAAAAGGCCAGAGGCCTCTAGGAGTATGCTTATATTTGTGAGTTGTGGATCCACAATGACTTTGAAAAGTAGTTGATTACTGTTGGTTTGAAAGAATTTTATTCAGGAAATATCATGTTATGGGCTTAGAATTAAATGTGATGTTGATTCGTAAAACCCAATACCTAGTTATTGTGAAATATTATTAATTATGATTTTCATACAATTTGTTTAGTAAATATGTTATAATCATGATAGACATTTTGAATGATTAGCTCAAGTCTTTTCTCTCATGGTTAATATTTCTGTCAAATCAAACTTCTTTTTATAACCACGGTAGCCTTTTCAAAGATTATACTAAGATTCTTTTCCATCATGGTTAGTATTATTAAATTTTGATTTTAAAAAGGTTAGCAAAAGTTGAAGAGAACTGTTGTTACAATTAGCAAGAGAAGTACAGACCTGTCGGTATTCTATGCTCGAGAAATTGGTACGCTTACCAGATGGGTATCCAGATAGTTATCTACCTACCTTATGACAAGCTTCTTCTAACTGCCAGGGCAATTTATCCTAAGTTAAATCACTCGATGGTGACCCAGTGTGACTCGTTCAAATCATTATGAATCATTAGGTCATCCAATCGAGTCACATGGTTGGTTGCTGTGGAACTCCCTTGCTTGAGATTAAGTAATTAGCTGAAGAGTTGGCTTTTGTAAGTCATGGGTAAGTACTTTTTCCTAAGCTTTAAATACTTTAGGTTTTCTTGGACATTCTGCCAATACTTTCTCACAAACCTAGTGAGCTTTATTTTGGTGAAATGAACTCGCTGCAGGTTACTCATGTTATGCCACTCAAAGTAGTTATCTATCATTGCTAACCAGTCCAAAAAAAATCTAACCAATTGTCAAGATCAGGTGCCTCAACCTTAACCCTTTTCATCACATCATCATAGTAGTCCTACCACGAGGCACCTTGATATCGCCTCCGAGGTGATGGGCTACGGTTGCATCTATGGTTGTCAGGATTAGGTGCCTCAACCTTAGCCAGATGGGGATTCCAGGATATCATCCATGTCATGCTCATCCCAGGGGTTCTCTTCTTGCTTAACAAGTAGGTAGAGATGGTCGTCATGAGGTGGCCTAAGGGATGGTTATTAGGAATTATAGAGTTCTAAGAGTCCTTAAAGAAGGATGGTCCAGCCTCATCAGATCTAGAGTTTGATCAGTTTCCTCTAGGGGGTCTTCCAAGTATGCCGTTCTCAGCTTTCCTAGACATTCACCTATTTGTTTCTCGCAGTGATTCCTTAAGCTCTCTGTGAGATTTCCTAAGCTTCTTGGTAGAGTCTCTAAACTCTAGGTACTTGGCATTAAAGTCTTGCTCAATCTCAGTCATTGATTTCTTTAGGCATTTAGTGAGTTCAAAAATTTGGCATTGAAGGGTTTGATAGTTTTGGTCCATTTAGGATTTAATATGATAAAGTGAGGGTCTAAAGAAATTGAGTTCTAATTCAAAGGCTACGAGTCTATTTAGGATTTCATGAATGGTCATACAAAAGACAGGTAATAAAATAACAAGAACTAAATAACAACTAAACAAGAAAAGCTACAAGTGGATTAAAAAGAAAACAATAAATTTTTTTCTCTAACCAACAATTTGCAACCAAGCTAGCAGTCAAAATTTCAAAACACAAATCTTCAAGCTCTGGACTACCTACAATAATGATGAGTTTAGAAATGATGCACTTCATAGTAATGAAGAAGAAAAGTAGAACATTGCATCACGTTTCCCAATCGAAAATATGCTAATCAAGCTAAGAGGTAACAGTTACCCGTTTTCTTGAAAGCCCACACTTCAGAGGAGCCTTTCCTCACCAAACTTCTCCATGCATTACTCTATCTTGGTTTGAATCCTCTTAGAATCCTTCTTTCTTTTTGTTTTTTTTAGTATCCGATCTCTACCATTGGATCAAATAATAAATGGTTTAGATTTCATATTTTATAAAACTATTACTATAACATTACATAAATAGGAGAGAGAAGGTAAATATCTACTTTTTAAAATATTAAATCTGAGCCATCTATTATTTAATCTAATAGTAGAGATGAGATTTTGAAAAGAAAAAGAGAAAAAAAAAGATTATGAGAACACCCTATCTTCAGATTTCACGAGTTCCAATTGCATTTTTAATAAACTTTTTAAGGGCAAATGGGTCATTGGCTGTTTCACGCGGGCGACTAAAAATTAATTCCCATCAATTTTGATGGGAACCTATTTTTATACGTTTAAAGGAAAATCAGTGATCAAACTTGCATTCTTGCCCTAGTTAGGGCACATTGAACACGACTAGGCCAAGAGACTTTTGGCCATTTAGAATTATTCTAAAAGAAATTTATTACAAGTGTAGTTATCGTCATATATTCATATCGTCAATCACATTTCAAAATCTATAGTTATTGGCAACTTTAAGAACATAACTAATGTTATTTTTTATTTCGTTGCATGCAGATGATGAATATGAATATTGTTTGGGCTTGAGGTAGAAAGACGTCTCCAACGGATGGATGATCCAATTGAGCACACATCATTCACATATTGCATCCCAGAAACCGCTTACATCTGAAATACTACATCCGACTTTTAATATAAGATATAGTTAACTAATTTAGAGAAATTAAAAAAATTAATTAAGTTAACTATTTGTAATAAATATATGTTGTTTTTTCTAGAATATCTTGGCTAATTATATATATTAGTTAAAATTATCATGAGATAGAACTTTTAATATGTGCAACTCTTATAATAATTACTTTTAAAAAAATAGATAAATATAAAAGACAAAATAGATTAGGGTCTTGTATTTAATATCAAATTAAAAGTCAAATTAGTTCTTGTACTAAGGATAGGAGATAATATATCTATGCTATATCTTAGAATTGTTATGGTATTTGAGACTAATTTTCTTTAAGCAAACTGCATAACACGCATGGTTTGTTTGTCTAGTAAAATAATAATAATCGCTGGTTTTTAAGTATTATATGAATTTTTTATTTTAAAATAATTTGTAATGCAATATTTATAACTTATAAATTATAAGCATTAACATTTTAGATTTTATTTATAATTATAATACTAATTTAATGATGACGCCAAGAATAACAACTTTAGTTATGAGTAGAACTATTTGTTCTGAGAATCTTATTCTTATGCAGTTTCTTTCGTGCGGATTTCTTTCATCACTTTCTGTTTTCTCTGGCCCATAGTTTCTGTTGCACGTAGTTTTCTCCTGCATCGGCATTGGCAGTGAGTAATTGATCTGATTGAGATTTGAATCTCTTCCAGTGAGAGACGGTGGTATGGCGCAGAAAAGATACATTATTGAGGTAGAGAAGGCGAAAGAGGCCAGTGATGGAAGGCCAACCATGGGTCCTGTGTACCGCAGCCTCTTTGCCAAGGATGGATTTCCGCCTCCTACTCCTGGTCTTGACACTTGTTGGGACATTTTCCGGTGAGCATATCATAGATTTATCTTATCAAACCTGGTCTTCAAATTTTCTTCCTTTCCTTTTTGATTTGATACAACTGAAACTGTCTCGCAAACGGTTTATTTATTTATTTATTTTTTGGACAAAAATGTTGTGGGAGTAATAATTTGGTGCAAATTTTTAGTTTTTTTAGCGCTCATAGGTTCGAATGTGTTTCCTTTGATTTCATTTCTTAATGCGAAGAACAACTCTTTGCGGTGCATGTTTGATTCGTTCTCTACATTTGTCCCGGACATGAAAAGGCTCTTATTTTCTAGTTGTCAAAATGGTTTGGTTTTCGTGGATTATGGACACATTGTCATGGATATGCATTAGTCCACCTTTCTATTACATTTTACAGTATTTAATTCTCGTATTGGTATAGATTTTTCACTTTGCTTTATGCATCAATTGCCTTTACAGTTTGTCTGTTGAGAAATACCCTGCGAGTCCAATGCTTGGCCGACGAGAAATAGTGGATGGGAAAGTAATTTATTTTTCGTTCATTCTCCAAGTAATTTATTTTGATCGTTTGATCACTTCTAACATTAAGCCGTTAACTGTAGCCTGGAAAGTACAACTGGCTCAGCTACAAAGAAGTATATGACTTGGTGATGAAAGTCGGAAATTCCATCCGCAGTAGTGGTTATGGGGAAGTAAGTCAGCTACGTTGTTTTTGCCACTGTTTGTCACTATGTACTGTCATCCTTGTTATTGAAATATTTTTCGTTTGACCATAGCTTCTATTTGACTCTTTCTAGTGGCAAGTTGTTTGTTCAAGCTTAAATATCCACATTTTTGGTTTGCAGGGTGTAAAGTGTGGCATTTATGGCGCCAATTGTCCAGAGTGGATTATAAGCATGGAGGTGCTTTTACTGTATTTTATGTTTTGTTGCCGAGTTTCAATCTATTTTCTTACTACTCTGATCTTGGAGGATTTAATTCAATTTATTTGTTGATACATGCATCTATCATGCTTATTTATCATTTTTCACTGTATTGTTTCTGTTTTTATTTTGGTGTATTTTTTATATTTTTCAGAATATGATGGGCAATGAGTTATTTATAGATTGAAACTTTATTTCTTTTGTGTAACATTTGCATTCTACACAGAGCTTCCCTTCTGTTGTTTAGTGTTTGCTTATATTGAGGAATCTTTGGCCACCAAGCCATGACACTTTTATGTTGCTAAATATTTATTCTCATACTTGATGGTTTCTGACTTATGCTTGAAACAAATGCAGGCCTGCAATGCTCATGGGCTTTATTGTGTTCCTTTATATGATACCTTAGGTACTTATGTTCTCTCTTTAGCATATTTCTTCATGGCTATATCATACTGATCACAATCAAATTTTGCATCCTGATTCAGTTGTACACATATAGGTTATCTTACAACTTAATTTTGTTAGTTTTCCCACTGAAAAAGGTGCCGTCACAATATTTTAATAATTATCTTGCAAAATTAAATTATCTTGGGCTTGACATTGTCATATATGTTGCTTAGGTGCTGGGGCTGTAGAATTCATCATATGCCATTCAGAAGTTTCAATTGCATTCTCAGAAGAGAAGAAGATTCCTGAGGTATGCTTTTGTGTTCATCATGTTATAGCAGCTTATTATAATAATGATCATAGTGAGTTCCGTGAAGATGTAGACATCTGTAAGATTCTTGTTAAATGCTTTTCAGCTATTGAAGACTTTTCCAAACACAACAAAGTATCTTAAGAGTAAGTTTTAATCTTTGTTTCCATTCAGAAAATTTGTATGTTTAAGAAAAAAGCAATAACCTTTGTCTTTTGCACATAGCACTTGTGAGCTTTGGAAAGGTTACACCAGAACAAAAGCAAGAAGTTGAAAATTTTGGGTTGGCAATATATTCATGGGAAGAATTCTTACAACTGGTGGGTTATTCATTGAATTTATTTGTTATTATGTTTCTGCTACTGGTTGCAAATTTTGGCATCAAATGTGCTCCTGTAGTTGTCATTTATTAAATCTTGATTCTATCTATATAAGTTTATCAGCTGTTGTACCAGTAATGTTTGCAGCGGTTAGGACATGCAATTCTTTCGGATGACAAAACAATTAAACGTGGATATTTTGTTGCAACTGTAAATTGTGGAACTGTTTGTCTGGTTCAAAATATTTAAGGCTCATGTCTCAGCTACTCTGTCTAAAGCTCACTGCAATCATAACTGATTGGAAATATTATATTACTCTGCTTCTATTGATATCTTTTTGGTTGTCATTTCTAAAATTTTATCGCAGGGTCATGGTCAAAGTTTTGAACTCCCTGTTAAACAGAGAAGTGACATCTGTACTATAATGTATACTAGTGGAACCACTGGTGACCCCAAGGGGGTTATGATTTCCAATGAAAGCATTATTACACTATTGGCTGGGGTTAAGCGGCTATTAGAAAGTGTGAATGAACGAGTAAGTTCTGCTTCTTAATCTCACCTATGAATGTGTGAATCAGAGTGAACCTGAAATACTGCTCCTTGGGTTTCAGTTACATGTATAAAGCATCTAATATAAATGATCTACTAATAACTTTTCAATTTTAGGGTACTGACTCTTTGGCTCTTTGCCCTCCTCTTTCCTACTTTGCAGTTACATGAAAAGGATGTATACCTTTCATATCTTCCACTTGCACATATATTTGATAGAGTCATTGAGGAACTCTTTATATGGCATGGCGCCTCAATAGGATTCTGGCGTGGGGTGAGTATAATCACTTTGATGTTATAGTTTACCCTTGGATTTGATAGGAATTTATTTACCATTCATATAATGGCTGCAGGATGTCAAACTGTTGATTGAAGACATTGCGGAACTAAAACCATCAATATTTTGTGCTGTTCCTCGTGTGCTTGATAGAATATACTCAGGTAACTTCTTCTTGCCACAAATTGTAGGCAGTGTAACAATCTGCATGATTTGAAGAGCCTTTTTCTCTTTATCTTTTATTTCTTTCTTTCTTTGTTTTGTTTTATAGGAGACAACCCCTCCCCCATTCCCCCCCCCCCCAAAAAAAAAAAAAAACAAGAAGAAGAAGAAAGCATAGAAAGTATCTCATTCATTATCTGCTAAACAGGTTTGACACAAAAGATTTCTTCAGGGGGCTTCCTGACAAAGACAATGTTCAATTTTGCTTACTCATAGTAAGTGCTATGCTATTGTAGTTGATTAGTTGGGTCCTGGACAAATCATGTTGTATTGTTATTGGTTCTCCTTATAAGATCTGATGGAATAATGGCCTTGGCCTATATTATTTTGTTATTAACATGCCATGCAATTTGACTGCAGCAAGTTTCATAATATGATGAAAGGGGAAAATCATCAAGAGGCATCTCCACTTTTTGATAAAATTGTGTTTAAAAAGGTAGTGCTATTTTGTAAATGTGATCACCCATTCCCACATTGTTGGGCCAACAACCATTTTAAAAACAACTATTATCAAATTTTTAACTATTTTGACTAACCAGGTTTTTACAAATTGATTAGGTAAAGGAAGGCTTAGGGGGCAATGTACGCCTGATTTTGTCTGGAGCAGCACCTCTATCTGCACATGTGGAACGTTTCCTGAGGGTGGTGGCTTGTGCTTATGTCCTACAAGGATATGGTATTCTCTTCATGAAATTCTTCAAAAACTTTACCCACCTTGTATCCCCAATTCTTTTCGTGGACATCATGGTTGGTATCTGTGAAAGTACTCTTACTGTAAGTAGTGACTGGTCAAGGCAAATCAATAGAAATTTTTTTTTAGCGTGTACTAATATTACCAATATTGTATTGAAGGTAATTATTGTTATTTTATAAAATAAACAAAGTGTATTTGAGAGAAGATTCACGGCTGAAAGTGTTTAGCCTAATGCTTTCAGCACTTTTCAATCCAAATTCTCTTTGGTCTGGCACAAACAACTAAGCCTGGAAATTCTAATTTTAGCACTTTAGCGGGACCTAATGGCCTATTTGAACAGTTCATGCATTCAACTCAAACCCTTTCCTTATTTTGACTCTTTGATGAGAATAGTTACCTTTTGCACATGCTCATTTATATAATTAGGTGTTAGTTTCCTTCAATTAAGTTTTCACAGTGCTTAATCTTCCATAAGTAGACTCCTTTTTCTTTTTTTTTGTTGGCCTGATTTTTCTGTTTGAATTTTATATGCTTAATCTTTCATATTTTATTTATTATTGTTTTTTATTTTTTATTAACATTTGACTTCATCTCTAAATAAAAATAATTACCTTTTATTTAAAGAATTATAGATATATATGCAGATCTACTTGGATTCTTATGATTGATGACGTAATTTGCAATACGGACGTTGAATGAGCTTATAATACAGAACTGGATTTATTAAAATATACATGCTTGACAAAAATGTTGTTCCATATAAAACATGCATACCATGTATTGGTCATGCATGATATACTGTTTTGAGCGATTTGTTTAAATGTGTAATCACTTTGTGTTGTGCACACGTCCAAGGGAATTTATTCTATTCTGATCAAGAAGGAATTTATTATTTGCATATTTGATATGATAGAATTAGAAAGTAAATATGGTTTTGTTGGAATGAAATAGGTCTGACTGAAACCTGTGCTGGAACCTTCGTTTCATTACCAAATGAATTGGGAATGCTTGGTACAGTTGGCCCTCCTGTACCAAATGTTGATGTGTGCTTGGAATCTGTTCCTGAAATGGGATACGATGCACTCTCTAGCCGACCAAGAGGAGAAATCTGTGTAAGGGGAAGCACCTTATTTTCAGGGTACTACAAACGTGAAGACCTCACAAAGGAGGTTTTGGTTGATGGATGGTTCCATACAGGTTAGTTCATTCATGGCTTCCAAAACTGAAGTTTAGATACTCTATTTAATTGAATGCATTGTAGAATCTTTTTTTTCATAATTATTCAATTCAACAGGGGATATTGGAGAGTGGCAACCAGATGGAGCCATGAAAATAATTGACCGGAAGAAGAATATATTTAAACTTTCACAAGGAGAATATGTTGCTGTCGAGAACCTGGAGAATATATATAGTCAAGTTCCTGCCGTTGATTCTGTATGTCCTGAGAACCTTGCCAATAGCTTTAGTTCTCTAACTTGTTCGTGCCTCCAGATAGTTTAGAAGATATGTGGAATATGACAATTTTCCCGGTAAAAGGGAAAAATTGTTGACTACTTGAGTTAAGCAGGCTATGAGTTACCTAAATTTCATCCTTCCATGGCTTCTGAGACTGATATGATCAATTGTTCTTGAGGTCCAACTTGTAATCTTATGCATCCTAATTTCATATGGATCCTCAGCTTAGATTGTGATAAGATACCATTTGGGCCTTCTGAACAATAGCCCGTGATCACTTATATCAGAAGGAAAAAAATGGGCCTGGTTGAGTCAAAATGATGGGAAAAGTATGGAGAAGTCTGATTTTGTCATTTAAGGGGTTATTGATTAACTACCTATCAGAGCAGTGCATGATTCTACTTAGGATGTAGTTGCTTAAGTAATGTGTTTATGGGGTGTCAGTTACGCTTATTTTTCTACTGGTAAGTTTTATGTGTCAATTTTGTATCGGAGATCCTTCATCCAGTGTTATCTGAGTAATGAAGTTTTCCAGATTCTGGAATTAATTTCTTCCATAGCATTCTATTTTCCTACTTCAACTTCATCAGCTTGTATCAGATTTGATGCAGACTCCCCTTGCTTTCAGATGGGGATGCTGTTCATGTGTCATTTCTTTCATGTCTAAACATATGCCATGGGTCATTTCTTTCAAGTGTGGCGATCCTTTATTCATGCAAAGCTTTAGAATTTTCAATCATGAAGTTGTCAACTGGAATGATAGACTCTAGACAGCCAACTGTATCTACATGTTTGCGTAGTAGTTATAGATGCATGATTTCCTGATTCTGCTGATGTTATCATGTCCTAGCTGAAGACTAGTTCTATGACATGTAACTGTGCAATTATTGTGGTCACTCCTTCATGCGTAAAGGATATTCTGGTCGCAATTTCCAATTCAGCTGCTTTTCAGGACCTGATAAGTTTCTCTTTCGGGCTACTGCTGATGTATAAGTAACTCTCTTCTCTGTTTCAGATATGGATCTATGGCAACAGTTTCGAGGCCTTCCTTGTTGCTGTTGTTAATCCCAATAAGCAAGCACTTGAAAGTTGGGCAGAAGAAAATAATATAAATGCTGAGTTCAAGTCTCTATGTGAAGATTCCAGGGCAAAAAATTACATAATCGAAGAGCTAACTAAACTTGGGAAGGAAAAGAAGGTCCTATATAGTTTTTTAAAACTTTGATATGTTTTTTCCTCCTACACTAAATTGTGGGCTTGCCCTTGCATGATATTTGAGATAATACGTTTTATATATATTGGAATAAAACTTGAAGTTTTATGGTATTCTGAATTTGGCAGTTAAAAGGTTTTGAGCTTATAAAAGCTGTTCATCTCGAACCAGTACCATTTGACATGGAACGTGACCTCATCACTCCGACTTATAAGAAGAAGAGGCCTCAGCTGCTCAAATACTACCAGGTACAAATCTCAAATTCACATGATTTTTCTGTTTTGCTGCTTATGAATTGAATTGGAGAGAGAACGGTGGGTTTACCTTTGGCAAATGAAAGATTACCGCTATCTTATTCCTTAGTTTACCTTTCAAAAAGATGAATAACTAAATGGAGGTGGCCAAGTGGTAAGCAATGCACATTCAGTTAATTGGTTTGACCTGAACCATTCAGAAAGAGTAAGACAGCTTGGTGGTTTCACATTAACATTATCACTGTTTTATGGGCTATTGTGAAGTAGAAATCGAGTAGCTAGATCATAAATTTTATCACCCCTCAATGGATTCATGTGTATGCAAAGTCGCAAATCTAGTCGAAACACCTGCTCAAATGTGCATATAGTTAAGTAAAATTCACACACACACACACACACACACACACACAGCGCTTCGACTTGAATGAAGGCAAACTGAAATTGAAATATAGATTTTCTTTTTGGACCATAAACACATATTCACATGTTCAAATGTGTGCATTTATGAGAATGCTCATGTGCATGTAGTACTATGTAGGAATGACGAGGCCTGCATTACGGGTTTTAGATACAGATCTTTACGATGTTGATGCGCACATTGGTAGCAATGAGATAAAGTTAAGTTTTTGGCCAAAAAGTAACAAAGAAATAGAAGTAAAGTGATTGAAATTAGTCCATTTTTTCTGTGTGCGCAGAATGTTATTGACAATATGTACAAGAGCGGAGGCAAATAGGGTGCCTGAGATAAGCTTTGGCAGGTTATAGTCATGATGGAGTTCATTTATTTTCTGCAATAAGATTGCACTAATTTTTGTCAATTTTTTCTTTTGATGACTGTATATATGAATAATCATAGATAGCAGATAAATATGATGTAGCTGCTTAACTTTAAAATACTAACTGATGTGTTTGAGTAGGTAAAATTATTAAGTTTATACAATTTGTTTTTAACTGGAGCTTTTTAAAAATATCATGTTTTGCCTGGTTTTGACATTAATACTTAAATGATATCGAATTTTATAAAATAAAATTGAACCCTAATTCCAAAAATCCAAAAGCCTGATTGGCAACATCAAATTGAGTTTTATTCCATGTCATCAAATATTTTCATCCTATGGCCATCATACAGATGCTTTAATAATCATTGCCATTTTGGTGCTCACTAGGAATTCTAATCGGGCAAAGTGGGAAACTTATGAATAAGGATAATAAAACCAGACCTGTCATTTGATGGTTGATAGTTCAAAAACTCATGATAGTAAAGCCCAGACTAACTCGCTCGATCAGGCTAATAAATCTGAACAGGTTATTTACCTGGTTCGGTCAATCATTTTTTGTGGTAACAGGTTCTGTCAATCATTTAATAGTGGATCATGATATTTTTCTCAAAGAACAGTGGAAATATTACATTCTTGATTCCTTGTAGTTTCATTTTCATGCACACAAAATTTATAAGGAAAATGATTAAAAAAATACCTGTTGAATTTTAAAATAATAAATAATGATTTTAACATGTCAAATTTACTATAACAATGGTTAAAATCATTACAAGAATAGTCAGTCTATTTCTTTTTTCAAGCATTTTTTTTGTCATTTCCTCAAATATATGTGTTGGAATTTGGTCTGTCATATGGTTGTGAAAATTTTTAAAATTTATAAATTGATTTGCTGCAATTTTGATACATTAATGAGGCAAAGTGACATTACAGTATGTGAATGTATATATTAGCGTTAGAAATCAAAGTGAAATATGAGTATTTTGCATATGGTGTAAATTACATTAATATACTTGAAATTTTATGATAAGAATACACAAGAAACAAAAATATTCAATATTAGTGAAACATTAAGGTTTAGCTTAAAATATTTTTTCAGGCACACTGATCATCCTAAAATTCAATGTCGTGCACTGTTCCTCCTAAAAATTTGAATGGGAGCAATGTCGCCCCTCTATTAATTTTCAGTGAATTTAAAGTTTCACTGGATCACCATTGCTACCGGCAACGCTATTTAAAAATAATTTTTATTTTTCTACAGGAGCATTGGATACGGAAATGCTGTAGAAATGCTTTCGAAACGTAAAAAAAAAAAAAAAAAGGTAATCCTACAGTTCTTTTTATTATATTACCATTGCTCTTTTGGATTAACGTCTGATCTTAAATTGTGAGACATTTGTAAAGATGCATAGGGTTACTTTGATAGTGCTAGAATTTTGGAACTAAATATAGAAGCTATCTTCTTTATAACTGATGGCCAATGAGAGAAGAGATTAATATTATTCCGTTGTACCTTGGAGGGAATGTAATGAACCACCTTTATATTAAACGAATGTGGGCTTGAATTTCGAAGAGGGCACTAATGGGTTGATCATTTTGGGTTAGAATGGATTGTTAGGGCAAAGTGTATATTAATGGATAGAGGAAATGCTATGAAGGAACCGGAGAGGTCGGAGAGGTACGATGTAGCAAAAATAGCTGATAATTCATAACGTGTTAAACTAAGGTTCTGTTAATAGAAATGCCAACATTTTATACTGACAATGCTTTTAACAAGATTGTTTTTAATAGAAAATATCTCTGTCTAAAAAAAGACTACGAAGGAGTACATGAGTTTCACGAAATCCCTTCCTCACTTTAATGTGTCCCTCTTGTGTAAAAGTTAGTTAAGGGGTCGAGTTTACTCTTAAATAGTTATTTGATTTTATAATTTTTTTTTCAAATATTTTTATTGATTGCGAGAGTTTTCGTCAAAGGATAACTCTAATGCATATTATTAAAAATAATAATTTAAAAAACTCAATATATATTTATTATAAATTAAATAACCAACTAAATTAATTTTTTTAATAATTAGTTATTTAATTGTACTAGAGGTAGCAGCTAGTATAATTAAGCTCCCAAAAAGAACTTGTTTCGAGATATCCGTGACGCGATTATCAGCCAAGCCGTGTTAAAGATGCATGCATATATAACGCATATGTCCCATCTCATCAATTTGCATTAGAAAAAGATATGGGAAAGTAGGTTTTTTATTTCTAGCAACCAAAATTAATGCTCTTTTTGTCACCAAAATTCAATGGACACTACATGCAGATAGTCCATAGTTTTCGTTTAATTTGCCTATTAATGCCGTTCCACTTTTCTTTCTTTTCTTTGTTTTTTTGCCCTTTCTGTAAATAGTATAATCCCTGAGTTATAGGGGGTATGGAAAATAAGAATACATTATTCATTATCCTATTATAATTTTTATATTTGTATGTTAAGTTATAGTTAATGATCCAGGTATTGTTGCGTGTTAAATATATACGGTAAATAATTTGATAGGATGATATAGTACTTTTCCGGTTCTAATTATAAAACTCATTTTGTAATGTAAATATATTACAATATAAGTTTTATATTTAGGACCAAAGAAGTATAAGACACAATTATTTAAATTGTAGAATTGACATATATATATAATCAACTGATCAACTCATTTAGAAATTAAAAATGAGTGTTATATGGAAATTTTCTTTGAATAGTTCATTGCAGCTAATAAATTATGTCAACTGATCGTTTTTAAAACAGCTTTTCTAATTTGTTTGAAGACACTTTTTCAAAACAAAATTAATTTCTCATAGGTATATTTGCTAAAGTTCAATAATGTACATTTAATATTCTAACACACATAACTATCTGACTCGCTCTCAATTTAATTATATATGAGATTGAAAATCATTATACATACAAACAAATTTCATCCAATAAAAATGACTACTGAGAAAACGGCAAACAAGGAATGAAGTAAATCATAAAGGGTTAATGTCCAATTTTGCTCGGATAGTTTTTGCCCAGGAGTAGTGGATACCTGGAAGCTTTTTTTAAGAGTAATATCATTGCTCAGATTTACAAAGCTTAGCAATGTCAACCCCACCATTAAAATGATGTTAATTTTGGCTGTTAAATTTGGTTTGTTTGGTTATATGATACTGTTTCTAGTCCTATTTATAAGTTTTAAATTTGGATAGTAGTTTAGTCCATTTTATAAGTTTCAATTTTAGTTTATCTTAGCATTTGTACTCTTCCAGTTCTTAATATAGGACCTAATTATTAAGTTAATTTTAGTCCCAAATCTAAGACTTATTTTTCATATTTACTAATTTTTTTCTAAATTACCCTTATGGATATTCCCTCAACCATAATCAAGTAAGTAAAAGAAAGAAGATATTAAGAAGGATAATTATGGTGTTTTAGAAAAAACATATTATATTTCTTATAATTAACTAACTTACCTAACTTCTTTAATCTGATCAAATTAGTTAAATAGGTCTTCTATTAAGGACCGGAAGAGTAATTTTTTCCCCTCAACTTCGTCCTTAATTATATATTCGTTCTTCTTTATCGTTGTTTCTCTTATCACATATCCTCATACATTTTTTTTCCGTCATTTTTCTTCATTTACTACAATGCCATCTTTGGGAAAAAAAATTAACATATTTATTGCTTTTAAATAATTTTAATTAATTTTTTATGGTTCTTTTGCAAAGAATTTGGATCTAAAATTCTAAATTAAATTTAAGAGCTATTGGTTTTGTTGGCGGGAGATAGTGTTTGGTGATTAGGCGACTAAGTTGGCGCATTCAATGGCACATGGAATGCCGCATGTATCATATGATAAAATAAACTAAATCATACAGTCAAAATTAACATTTTTACCGGCTAGACTGACATTACTACATGTTTTGTGACCTTTCGAGACGATATTACATGTAAAAGACCTTTCAATTTTCAAAGGCCCACCTCGAGTAAAATTGTATCTTACCCTTCCATATGTTGGCCTTTTGGGGCCGAAAGAAAAGGAAACCAATACACGTGTCATCATGAGCTTACATGTTGACTTCTGAAATTTGAATATGATGCCTTCTCCGGCTCTCCGCCCCTCGTTGTGTGTATACACTTCATCTGATTTTTAATACTGTTTCCTGTCATTAATATAAAGGTCCATTAATTAATTTAAATAGATAACAAAACTAATTAAATTAGTTATTTATAATAAATAGATTTGTCTTTCCTGAAGCATTCTTACTAATCAAGTGTATTAGCTAGAACTACTATTACTACAAGGATTATCTTGAAAAAAATAAATAAATATAAGAGACAAAATGGATTGAGATTTCATATTTAGCATCAAAATAAAAGTCAAACAAATTCTTATATTAGACCGAAGGAAGTATAATGATTAGATAACGAATTTGTAAAAACTAAAAAAATTATTAATTACGATAATTATGTTAAAATTGTATGTTGATTTTTTTAAGATATTTAATTTAATCATTTGCATTAGAACTATTCTTTATGTAGTTGATATGAATAGTTTGTGAACACCTTATACATTTGGCATAGAAAGTTATCAATCTCTTATATTTAGAACTAAAGTAAGTATCACAATTTTCAAATTCTGTATGCAAAGCATATGACTATTGTTAATTATCTATCTATATATAATATCAAAACTTTAGCAAATTAAAATAAATTATTTATAATAATCCAATAAACAATGCAGCCCATTTTAAAATCATCATTTAAGGCATGGGACCAATTAGTAGCCTGGGCAGACCTGCAATCCTATTTAGCTTCTCAAGGCAGTTCCAAACTTCCATAGTTTTGCGTATGTGGGCATATTTTAATGAAATTAAATCACAACTATTTTGAAACCTTATTTTGTCCGTAACATTCGTTATCTAGAAAATGAGTTGCATTATTATTTTTATTTGTGAATAGAATAATAATCTATTACAAATTTTATTTTTGTTCCCATGTTTACCAAGAAAATATATATATATAGAGAGAATTATAATGAGGTCCCAAACAAAGAAAATAATTGAAAAACAAATACCAGAGATTATCATTCTTACTATAAGACTTGTCATTATAGGTTGTTGAGATTGTTATTGGGATCTTTTGGTAATTATTTCTCTTCTGTGAGACTTGATTGTAATTTTCCCATATATATATATATATATATATATCTTCCAATGAAAAGTCAAGGTCCAATTTCATTTGAGGCTGGTCAAAAAAACAAATTTTCATCTGAGGCTTTGACGCATACGTGTAGATATATCATCGGAAGTAGGATTTATCCCAATAAGATTTCCAACCCAACAAAAAAAAAAGGTCTCTCAATAGGATCCTCTTTTAAAAGAAAAGCTAATTAGGCATGAGATTTGACCTGAATAAATATAAAATTTCAATTTATTTTATCTTTCAAATTTATATATTATTTTTCAAAATATCCATATTTCTTATATGAGGGGGTTTTGGGTTTGCACATTCGAAGGTAATCATGATTAATAGAATAATTTAGAAAACTCAAATCATATACTATCTCTTGTTCTAATTATAAAATCTCATTTATAATCTACAAATGAGGTCTTATAATTAGGACCGGAGGTAGTATATTATAAATAACTAATTTAACTAATTTTAATAATTTATCTAAATTAATTAATTAAGTATTTCATTAATTACTGGAGGTAGTATTTATCAACTTTGTTGGTTGGTATGAAGTTCATATTCTAAGTGATGCTTCTAAGTTGTAAGAACACTTTCTCTGATTTTTATTTCTTTTTTATTTAATATTCTATCTCTTATCTCTATAAAAACCCGTTTGGTTCAAGGAAAATTTGAAGAAGGAAATGAAAAATCGAAATTTTCAAGTGGCAGGTTGAAAGAAGAGGTTGGAAAGGAATTGAAATGGGACCATGATTTTTCTTTAAAGAGCTGAAAATGGTGGGAACCAATTTCAGTCACCCGCCTAAAATGGTCCTTTCCAATTTGCTCTTGTTAATTGCTTTGTTTCCTAAACTCAAAACAGGGGCAAGCAAAGCATGATGGGAAGAAAGAATGAAAAATGAGAAAAATATTTTTAACCTATGTTCATTCTTTTAATCATCAATTTAAAAATATAAATTTTTTTTAAAATGGGTCTTATTTTATTAAAAAGTAGACTTGTAGAGGTTTTAAATGAAATGTTACTTGTCCATTTTGAATGAGCAAACCTGAATTTGATGGAGCAAATTTGAATTTGATAGACAATTTGCTGCGGAATTTGCTGCAATTTTGCAAGAAATTCAAATATGCTTGGGCAAATTCAAATATGATGCACGAAAATTTGAATTTGGTGCATCAAATTCGAATTTGTTTTTTTTTAATTTTTTATCATATTAAAGTTTAAATTTCACCAAACATAATTTTAAAAATAAATTTTTTTGGATGTGTCTTATTGTATTAGAAATTAGGCCAAGTGAGCTTTCCAATCAATGGTATGTTATTTGCCTAATTTGTATTTAAATTAAGAAATATACTCCTCCAGTTCTAAATATAGGACCTATTTTGTAGTGTAAATTACACAACAAAATGAGGCCTATATTTAGGATTGGAGGAGTATATTTTTTTCATGTCATATTGTATCTTATGATTTGAAAACAAAATGAAACCAGCTTAAAATATATTATATAAATTTGTCTAAAATGCTTAACTGATAAAAATACAAACAAAGAATTGAAAAAAAAAATTACAATTCTCCCAAGCCAAAATTAGGATGTATAATCTTTATATAATATTTATATCTTTTTCATATTCAAATTGATTATTTTCTCTTCTTTAATATATTTTATTTATACTTTGTTATTTAATTTTTTTTCTTATTTATTTGTTAATCATTTAATATATATATATATATAGAGTATTTTTTATTTTTATTGAATATTCATATTTATTTATTTATTTAAATTATAATTTATTGATTTTTTGAATAATATTATTGTGTAAGTTTGAAAAGCATTTTTTATTTATATCATTTTGTCTACTTTCAAAAGAGCATTTTTTGTTTAATAATATTATATTTTTCTATTAAGAGTATTTGGGTAAAATAGCTCAATTTTCTCAATCCAACCAAACATAAATTTTTGTTGAACTCATTTTCAATTCTAGCAGGTCAGAAATTTTTCATTATTTTCTTTTCAATTCTTTTCAAATCATTTTCATTCTAATTGATTTTTTAATTCACTAAACTATAGAACACTTTTACATGGAAGAATTAAAGGAGAATTATAATGAAGTTTTAAGTGAGGAAAAAAAATTACAAAACAAGTATAAGAGGTTGTCATTTTCTATCCTAAAACTTATTATTACAAGCTGTTTAGATTATTATTAGAATATTTGGTATTATTATTTTTTTTTGGGACTTGATTGTATTTCTCCCAAGAATTAATATAAAAAAATATAAAAAGTCGACGTGAACTACTTTGGGCGGGGGCCTGAACGGAAACAGGTGACTCATTCATGAATCGAAGGGCGGCGGTTTATTATTTGAATCGCCACGTTGCACTTGTTGATCTCCACACGTACGTATTCTTCGTCTTTCTTGCCGCCTTTCTCTTTTACTTTTGACCCTCCACCAAAACTTGACACGTGGAGATCTGCTCAATCTCAACCCTCCTCGTGTACTCTCTTCATATGCCCCCCCACGCCTGCCATAACTCCCTTCAACGCGTATAAAAGAGCCTCATGCCCTTCATGTTCCTCTTCATTCAACAAAAGACGATCATGAACAGATTCAACGGGAAGATCCGAGCCTCGAGAATTCTCCAATAAATGTCACAGGAAGATGCAACGAATCAACACGACACTGTCTTCGAAGATATCGTCCATGGAAGAACAAGAAGAAGATGAAGAAGAAAGATACAGAAAAAGAGCAGCTTCCACGTCACACGGTTCCATATCGGTGATAGGGAAGCGGAGGATGATGGAGGACGCCGTGAAGATAGTACCGGGATTTATGGGAAGCTATGACTTTTTCGCAGTCTATGATGGTCACGGCGGAGCTACGGTGGCCAACGCTTGCCGCGAGAGGATGCACTTGGTGGTGGCGGAGCAAGTAATGAAGGAGGGAGCAGGTCAGAAGAGAGGATTGGCGGATTGGCTTGAAGTGATGTGCTCGTCCTTCATGAGAATGGATCGTGAAGTCGTCGGAGAAGATGGCACGGTTGGTTCCACGGCGGTGGTGGTAGTTGTCAGCAGTGACCACCTGCTTGTCGCCAATTGCGGAGATTCTAGAGCTGTACTTTGTCGCGGAGGAGTCGCCTTCCCACTTTCAAAGGATCATAAGGTGGTGATCATCACCATATCCAACAAAACTCTCCTTTATCATATCTTTTTCCGCTTCTTAGAACTGTAAATGACGAAATAATATATGAAGTAACTGAGAAATTAAATGTACGTTGTTTGAAAAACCTGCAGCCAAATCGACCAGATGAAAGAGAAAGGGTGGAAAAAGCCGGAGGAACAGTGATAAGTTGGAACGGGGATCGTGTCTTGGGAATACTCGCTACTTCAAGATCCATAGGTACCGTTATCCCCCCCCCCCGCCCTAATGGACCGTCAAAAAATATAACCTGTAATTCTAAGCTTCCTTTCAATTATAAATTTAATTTTCATATATTATTAATTTAAAACAACTCAATATTTATACCTTGTTACCTCTTGTGGAAAGTTGAATTTTATCCTAAATATAAAGTCTTGATCCATGTTATCTTCTATACTTATCAGTTTTTATTTCAAATTATTGTTTTTGGATACATATGTTAGGGGAGTTTGCATTAAATAATAGTTGTGTTGTGAAGAAGATTTTTCAAAGAAGCTGAAGCTGACATATATTTTTGACATGTAACTAATTTAACTACTTCCTTTTATCTCCTCACAAAGTTATATTTTATATTAAGGATCAAATGAAGTATTTAGTTAAGGAATTATAATGATCGGGTTGTTTCGAGTTAAAATTAAAAGAATTAATCAATAATTGAAGAGAAATCTAAAGAGTAAGTAAAGGTTATATGTTTTGTTTTGAATTTGTTGCAGGGGATCATTATATGAAGCCATATGTGGTATCAGAGCCAGAAGTAAAGGTATATGAAAGAACAGAGAGGGATGAGTTTATGGTAATAGCGAGCGATGGGCTATGGGATGTGATATCCAACAAGTTGGCTTGCGAGGTGGTGAGGAGGATTTTCAAGATGGGGTTCGTTAAAAGTGGGGCAGCAGAAGCTGCGGCATTATTAGCAGAATTGGCTATGGCTCGAGGAAGCAGGGACAATATTAGCGTTATTGTAGTCCGGCTTAAGTAGCTGAAAGTTATATATAGTGATCCAGCACCACATTTGTTTTTCTTTTTACACTTTTTTCACAACTTTTCAAGATATATCCTCTACTGTGAAACTTGTCTATACTTTATACTTTTTCTTTTTATCTTATTTGTTTAGGAAAAAATTAGTTATCAGTTTCTGTAGTTCCATCTGATCTTTAAAAGTCCGGTTGGTTGACGGGATACTTTGTAATCCAATGTATGAAAAATTGTTATGCTCATAATGAGACACATATTATTAGCTACCAATATTCTTTCTTTTACAAATTAATAAATTATAAATATAATAATAAATAATTGATGAAACTATAAAAGTTGAAAAAAATAACTGTAAAAACTTAATTTTTTTATTTAAGTCAAAATGATATTAAAAGAAGATAAGTTTACATGGTTCCTTTATAGTAAGCCCTACATAACTAGGAAATAGGAATGAAAAAGAGAGGGGTGCTAAAGAAGAATAAACACAAGAAAAATTAACTGGACACCATCGTTTTTAAATCTTGCCAAATGACTGGTTGATGATGATGGAAGGCTGTAAGATTAAAGTTCCTCTTATTGATGTAAATGATTTCTAAGAAATTCTGTGCAATTTCATTAAGGCGCCTTCTACAAATGATTCAACAAAGAGCTGCACACAAACAAGTGTAGAAGAAATGATTGGTTATCTCTTTGTTTTTTTTTTTTTTTAAACAAATGCGCAATACCGGCTGTCCTGAACTACAAACGATGATATGACAATATAAATTTTTTTTTGTGAACTTTGTTCTTATAAAATAAAATAAACCAATCCTTCTTCTAAGAGATAATCATCAGCAGCATTTCATCTGGAAGAAGTAAGATGTGCTTTTTTTTTTGTTCCTTACCAGAGAAATCTATGGATGAAAATGCCAAGGACTTCTCTAATGACCTGATGTGGAGGCTAAATGACACCACTATGACCAGCAATATTTTTTTACGCTAGATGATTTTAAAAAGGACAATTATTCCTTGCATAATATTATTAAGGCAATCTGAGTGAAGAGGATAGAGTGTAGACTTCAACCAACTCGAAAAATATGAAAAAATGTGTTCTTAAAATTTTATCAAACTGGTTGCTTTGACATAAGGACACGAGATAAAAATATGCTAAAATTTTTTATTATCATCACAACTAAAAGGATCGAACAAGAAACAGAAGAATTGAGATGATGTGTCATAAGAACATGTGCAGTTGGTATTGCTTGATGGAGTAATTTTCAAATAAAGAGTAGATATTTAAAAGTTAAGGAAATAGACCATAAAAAGTGTCAAAAAGGGTCTATTAAACCAGTAGCAGCAGAAGAGGTAGATTCTATAAAACATTGATTAAAAGTGAGATAAAATTATGGGAAGAAGCATATTAGTTTTTTTTCAAAAAAATGATATCAAACATTTTGACAGTTTGACGTGGTCTTGTATGGTTTTTTTTTTAAAATATTTTTTAATTAGTATACCCTCCAATTCTAAATAGAGTCAATTGAAGAAATTATTTGGATCCTAAATATAATAAGTCAATTAACTTTTTCTTTCAAATTTATGACTTTAATTTCTTTTTAAGTTAAACTTAATATTACCTCTAATATTAAATGTAAGAGTTAAATGAAAAGTTTATTTTGGTCCTAAATATAATATATTAATCTACTTTATTTCTTAAATTTATAATTTCTTCTGTAAAGTATCCTATTGATTAGGGGTGTTCAAGGCCGGCCCGTCCCGGTCCTGGTCTTATTGGGACGGGACGGATCCGTCCCGAAATTTTTCGGGACGGGACAAACCGGGACGGGACAAAAAAGGGACCGGGATGGGACGGGACATGGACGGGGTCGTCCCGTCCCGGTCTCGTCCCGGTTCCTTTTTAAAAATTTTTTTTTTTTAATTTTTTAATTTTTTATATAATATCATTTTTTTTCATATTTTTTTAAGATTTGAGACTATTGTATGGAACTATGGATATATTTATTTAGAGTTTTTATATTTGTTAATGATTTGAGATTATTGATGATTAGAATTTTTAGCAAGTTTTTATTGTGTTAAAAGCTTTTGTTTAGAGTTTTTAATAACTATTATATGTAATATTTTGAGCTTTTGTTTAAGAGTGCCCAAACAAATAAAAAAGATGTTTTTATAAGATTTAAGCTCAAAAAAATATAATTAAAAAAATCAGATTTTTTTTAAAAAAATTAAAAAATTAAAAAAAATATATTTCGGGACGTCCCGGTCCCGTCCCGGATCCGTCCCGTCCCGACCGGGACCAGGACAACCCCGGAACAGGCCGGGACACGGGACAGAAAATCTGTCCCGTTACTGTTCATCGGGACGGAACCGGGACGGGCCTGTCCCGGTCCCGATCCGTCCCGTGAACACCCCTACTATTGATTGCATATGGTAAAGCAAATTTCATTAAGAAGTAGTTAAATATAATACACATGATTAAAAAAGTATTCTTGAGAAATCAACAAATATTTATAACAAATATCTAATTCAACTAATTTTCTTAATATCTATAAATTAATTATTTACTTTTATATTAAAAACAGGAGGTAGTATGTCAGAACTTAAGAATATTTTAATAATATTTAAAATGTTGGCCTAATCATTTTTTATTAACAGCATTAGGTTATTTTATATTTGAGTTCCTATATAACGTTAGCTAGATAACTATTAAAAAGCTAATAATTTTTCTAATAAAAAATTATCATAAAAGTTAAACAAAAATTATTTTTGTTGGAATTTACTGATTTGTAATGATAATAATATATTGAAATAAATAAATAGAGGACGATGTACATTTCTTTTTTGGTGAATAGGACGATATACATTTTAATCCTTATATATTTTCTTTTCGTGATCAGTTATGTTCATCAACAAATTAGTCCTTATAGTTTACTGAGTTAAAAAAGTTATAGGGACTGGGCTGTCCCAAAATAAAAAGATATTATAACTGAGTTTCTTATGGTCAAAATTCAGCTATTAAAACAATAATTAAGAAAAATTCACGGACCAAAGTTATATTTTTATAATAAATACAATCATCCTGAAATGAACTGCGAACTTAAAGTAGTCTTTTTGATACAAAACCTAAAATAGCAGGCTTAAATTTTAATACGCTTTGTAAACTTATGTCTTGTGTGTTTTTTTATTAATAATATTCTTTTCTTTTCTTTTTTTCAGCTGAGTTTGTTAATTACATTCAACTTAAATATAATAGAGAGAAATGCATTTTGTGAAAATTCCAATTAAATCCGGTTAAAATATTAAAATTCGGATTGAGACTTATACTATTAACAAATGCCTAATCAAGCCAAGAGGACTAATTCAAAATTTTTGAAACTTACAAATTTAATAAATACCAAGAAAAAAACCAGATTGGACCAACTGATTTAACCAGAAAACCATTCAACCAGCCTAGTTTAAGTGCTAAACCAACCAAAGATTAAACTAATATCAACCTGGTTAAACCGATAAAAACTAGAGTGAACCAGTGAAAACCAGTGTGAATTGTTGATGAATCGATTTGAATGATTATGTTGTTATTGGTTCTATTTTTTCTTATTAAGATCCTAATATGTCAATCACAATAGATTTGAATGAATTTTAATAATGATTTTGATATTAATAATTATTAATTTTAGTTATTAAGAAATCATAAGATAAACATTCTCAATATTGTTGTACTTTGTTATTGTTACAATTAAACTATTCTTGTATTTCCTCATATTTTGTTATAAATGATTATTAACATTATTGTATTTTATTATTTTCAATTCAATTATACTATTTTAATATGATAGGTTTGATTTTAAGTTGACTTTGATTTGACTTACTGACCTTTAAATTGCTACCTCAACTAGTTTAATGTCTAGTCCAATTTTTGTTCCTTGATAAATACCTAATTCCAAGAGGGCTAATTCAGAAATTTTGAACTTTATAAATTTATCATAATAACCCAAGAGCCAAGATGTTTACTAGCTCGTTTTCTCTCCCTCAATCAGAAATCGCTTTTCCATGTCCATCTCACTCTCTACTCACCTCCTCATCAGTCATGGATGTTCTTTTCTTATGCTCTCTTTATAATCCTTCTGTTTCTTTCCTTTTGAAACTACAATAAAATCATTTTTAATTCGAACATGAAGATGAATGACATAATCTTTTGGGAATCGGTCTGTTATATGGAGTTTGAAAGGCTTTTTCTCTCTCTCTTTAGGCTGTATTTGGTTCAAAAGAGAGGAGGGGAAGGGAGAGATTTTAATAAAGTAAAAAAGAAAAGAAGAGAGAGAAGGGGTTTTAATGAACAAAAGGAAAATAGGAGAATTTTAATGTTATCTTGTTTTCTTTGGGAAGGAAGAGAAGGGCAAAAAATTTTATACGGACAATTTTGTCCTTAATTTATCTTTGTGATAAAATATTTCTTATGCATCTGGATATATTTATTAATTTATTAATTAGTCAAAATCTCAAAACTCTATCACAACATTTATATGTGATAGAACATTTTTATATACTTTAAATAATTTTATTAATATTAACAAGCTATTTTATTAATTTTAATGTTTCTCAAATTTCTTATGTAATATGCATACTGGCATTGCTTTTTATAATTTTATATTTTAATATTGATATTAATAATTGATAATCTTTTGGATCAGGAGTGGCAAATTGTTTATACATGGTGGAAGTATGATTACATGTTGGATTCTTTAATCGTAGCCCTTAATTCAAGTGTGTGGAATCGTGACTATTTGTTCTCAATTAGACCCCCGATTTTCCCTCCTCTTCTTTTTGCCTCCAAAACCCATTAATTGTTGCCGTCGCTGATCCTTTCACCTTCTCTTTGTCGAAACCCCTCCCTCTGCTTTCATCATAATCGAACATATAGTGTTACTGGAATTGAAAGATGCCACCGGAGGATTATTAATTTCTGCTTAATATGTGGTTCGCCATGCACTAGCTTCCTTCTTAGGCCGATCTAGCAACATGGTATTTTTATTTTTATTTAAAAAAATTGGATTAGCGACGACATTTAACAATGGAAGAACTAACGACGGAACAGATTTCGTCGCTAATCTATTGCTAAAAAACATTTATCACTAAATTTTGTTGCCAATTATATTTCTTTTTGTAGTGAGAAATGCATGTCACTTGATCAGTGTTTGTTTAAAAACGTTTATTTAATTTATTTTTAAAAAATTTTGTGTATTTTATCTGACAAAAATATCTTTTTATTTAAAGAA